CCTATTTTACAACAGTGGCACCATACAGTACTTGTCCTTTTGTGACTGAGATACTTCACTCAGCATAATGTCCTCCAGAGTCAGCCATTTTGAATAATATTGCATGAGTTCCTTGTTTTTCAATGCAGCATAGTATTCCATTATATGAGTATACCATAGCGTCTCTATCCATTCGTTTGTTGATGGGCAGCAAGGAGTTGAAAACAACCTAAGTATCCATTTATCTTGATATTGCTTACTGGTCCAGCTGGGAGGATATTTTTTTCTTTATGTTCAAACATAATTCATATTGAGGCTGTAGTATTTGATCTTCATCCATAAATTCTGTAAGTGTTCATCACTTTCAGCAAGACAGGTTGTGTTATCTGCATACAACAGCAAGTTTTCTTCTTCCAACCCTGACATCACATTCTTCTTTACATGATATAATTTCTCAGATTGTTTGCTCAAATTCAGATCTAACAGATGTGGTGGAAGGATACAACACTGAGGTAAACCTTTCATGACTTAAACTATTATAGTATTCCCTTGTTCCGTTCAAAGAACTCCCTGTGGGTCAATGAACAAGTTTCAAAATACCATAATGTGTGTAAAATGGCTATTCTTTGTAATGTTCTTCATAATTAGTTATGATCCACATGACTAATTTACATATTAATAAAGTTCAAGTAAACATCTTTCTAGTGATCTGTGCTTTCAACCAAGAGCCATCTAATATCAGCAATGATATTTAGTCCAAGTCGTCTTCTGAATCTTGCTTGACTCTTGACAATTCCTTGTTTATGTACAGCTACAGGTAGTTTGTTAGCTTTTGTTTGTGGATTTTGTTTGTTATTTTTCCTTTTTAGTTATATCATCATTGAGATTTTACTTGCATGTGAAAATAATTATATTATGCAGTAATTTTCACAGTCTATTAGATCATCTTCCTTCAGAATGAGCACTAGTATGGACCTTTCCCAGTTGCTTTGTAAGACAGCTGTCTCCCAAATTTCTTGACAAAGAGGATTGAGCACTTGTAGCACTGCTTCATTTGTTGAAACATTTCTGTTGCTATTCTATTAATACCTGGAATTTTTCTCTTACCCAATACCTTCAATTCAACTTTAACTTTTTCAGCATCATCTTCCTTTGGTGATTTCTGCCTTGTTTAATATCTTCCTCATGCTCATTCATGGATATTAAGTCAGTTACAACTCATAGTGACACTCCAACAAATTTCCAAGGCTGCAATTTGCACAGGGAGAAGCTGCCCACCTTGTCCCTACAGAATCTCTGGTGGATTCGGACCATCAAAGATGTGTGGGTTTGAGTTAGCAGTCCAGCTTGTTATGGACTACACACCAGAGCTCCCTTCTGTGCACAGAATCTTTCAGTATTATGTTGTTGCTACTGTTGTTGTTGTTGTTGTTGTTGTTGTTTTGTACCACCAAGTCAGAACCAACCCACAGCGCACTTTCCAGAAGGTTTTCAGTGGCAGTTAATTGCACAGGAGATTGAGATCCTTCTCGTGCAGAACAGCTAGTGGATTTGAACCATGTACCTTTGGGATTATAATGTAGTTTCTTACCACTTTTATGCTTGAATATTTCTTAAACTCTTTCATTTGAGAAACACTGAGTGTGTTCATCACTTTTCCATTTTTTAAATCTATGTT